ATATATATATATATATATATATATGTTAAGTACTGTTGTTAGTGCTTATAAAACCTCCAACTCCTTCTGACTTGAGGACCCAGGCTATCATGGATGTTGTATCTTTGGGCGTTGGTCCTGGCTTGGATGGGACGCAGGTTGCTCGGATGGGTGTAGTTTTTCTACAGAGGGAAGGGCATGTCATCCACATGGAGAAGCAGAGATTTCCAGGATCATTCGGGCTATTTTTCTGAACCAGCCCTAGGCAATTCTGGATGCATGGGTTCATGAGACTGGAGTCAGATCCCAGGAAAGGAGTGCTGGGCCTCGGGAGCTCCAACCCCATCTTCGCATGAAAATGCTGTGGCAACAGCAGAGTGACTGTCTGACTTCTTTCTCAGGCAAACCTCTCTCCCTTCTCTCCCTACCTTTACCACCTCCCATCCCATGCTGCTTTTCCCCATTGTGGTCTTTAGACTTGGCTGTAAGCTTCTGGGTGGATTTACACTTAACTTCTTACACTTTTCTCTGTTGAGGACAGCAAAGCTTGTTAGGAATGGTCCAGGACAAGGGACTTTTGGTTTCAGAGAAAACTGTATTTTTTTTTGTATATGATTTACCTTTCTGATTATGTCTGATATAGAATTTTTATTTCTTGACCAAACCCTGAGGGATGGTTGGGAAATATTAGTGGGACAGTGCAGCATTAACCTCTGCCTCAGATTACCCCAGAGCAGCAGGTGTTTGAGGATGGCTTGCATTAGATGCCTTGTTCTTTTCTTTGATAAAGACACATGTCCAGGGAAATGGAACAGCAGTGCATGGTTTCTAATGTTGGGGCTTTGGAAATCCCCCCCTCCATGGTGCCTTGGACACATAATAGGCCCTTGGTAAACTGTGTTGGCATTTCTTTGCTTCTCCTCCTGCAAGGCTGGCCCCCTCACTCCCACAGCTCAACTCCTCAACATCATCGTCCGACCTGGGTATTTTATTCTTCCCCAGCCCCTCTTGTGTTTGGGGTTCTGCCCTTTGCTCCAGTTATGAGGAGAAATATTTGGTTTCTGAACTGGTGCCTCCTGATAGTTTTTATTCAAGAGATAACCAAGAGGTCATCCCCCTTTGGGGGATGATGTTTCTTCCCTTCCTACATCTTTTGCTCTAGCTCTTCCCCCGGTATCCGTCCCTCTCCCCCTCTTCTTCCTCTCCCACTTCCTTTCTCCTTCTGCCCCTGCCAGTCCCCTGTTGCTCTCTGCCCACCTTTCTCCTCTCCTCTGCCTGCCTCCTTGTTCTGCTTCCCCATCTCTTATTGCCTGTTTGCAGCTTCTCCTGTGCTCTTGTCTCACCGTGGTCTCCTCTGTGGGGTACAGTAGGAGCGTCACAGGGTTGTTTTTTTCTCCTTCTTGGCCTGTTAGAAGTCCCTCTGCTATACCCATACCATAAATAACACCCGCATCTGCCAAACACATTCCTCACTTGTGTTAATAGGCTGCAATGATGCCGGAGCCTGTTGCCATGGCAACCCCATTTTTGTTTGATTGTATCCCACTCTGCTACATAAAGCCTCTGCATGCACACACACACAAACAAGCACGCTCACACAACCATTACATATGCTAAACTATTAAAGATTATTTTGGAGAAAATATCTTTGGGCCCTGTGGGGTTATCTGACTGAGGGGATGAGCATCTCCACTGTCCAGTGTTACTCCGGGAGGTGATAATGGATGGAAGAGCTCTTTGAAAAGTAGAGAGTCCTGTTCAAATGTGGGGTATTATTATTCTGCAACCACATTAAGCCTGCCTGCCATGGTTTCAGAGGAGAAGATTCTGACCCCATGTGGGTCCCTGTGAGCTTGGGAGAGCTGTTAGAAGTTGCCGTCACGGTGTGGGATGACCCACCCTCCTCCCCAGCGGAGTTTCAGCTCCTTCCTCTCTTCCCCCTAAACCTTTTGGAGAAACTCAGTGATCTCTTGTATTTCTTCCTTTGTGACTGTTTGAACCTGTAACTGTCACCAGTTGCTTCAGAGATCAGAAAGGCACAGGCGCTGTGTGGGTGTTGTTCTGTGACTGTGCACGTGCGAGCGTCTGTAGCTAGGAGGCTGGGGAAGGAGGGGGATGGGGATCCAGACCACGAACTGACTGCTGTGCATGTGCATGCATGTCTGCTCACGCACACACACACACACACACACGTGTGTGTGTGTGTGTGTGTGTGTCTGTGTGTGT